GCGGGAGCCAGTGTCAGCTATGACTGGGGTGCCTGCGGGAGCCAGTGGCGGCTGTTCTTTTTGGAGGGGAGTGGCTGGGGATTAAACCCAGGGCTCCCTGCATACTAAACGTTTACTGTAGCTCTGAGCCACACTACTAAGCCCTTAGTTATATTCTTGGTAGTGTGAGAAAACTCCCCTCCTATTAGCTACCTACCTCCTGGACCCTGGACTTCTCAAATATTTTTCTGTTTACCACACTTCGATTCAGGTTGATTTTTATCCTAACAGATTAAGTGATAATGGTTCATATATAGCAGAGGAAAGGTTACATAAGTGAATTTTTGGATGGTGTCTTGGAGACCTGGTGTGTGTACAAAATGCTTTTCTTCTGCTGTGTTTGGCTTGCTTTAACTTCTGCTTTGAGATTGCAGTGACTAAGTACACAACCTTCTTTCAGATGAGCAGTGTCATTTGTTAGCATGGTCACATTCCATGCCCACTGTGCCCAGGAGGCAGGGAGGAGGGTGGCTTGGAAAGTGATTTGGCCTTAGGACCTGGAAATAACAGCGTAACTTTCTTGCTGAAAGCTGTGAGTCTGAGCTGTTTCTCCGAGTCTGCTTTGGAGCTCCTACCGAAACCTTCCTCGGTTCAGTCCGTCTACCCTCCACTTAGTTATCCTCGGAGGCGGGGGGGGGGGTATGAGACCTAACCATGCTGCCGTAGGGGGCACAGACCCCTGTGTGACCAGGGAAGGAAGTTAATAGGCTTGCTAGTGGTGGTGAGGCCCTCAAAACTGAAGCTGTGCTCATATTTCCTCAGGAGCCCTCCCTGTACACTGTCAAGGCCGTCCTGATTCTGGACAATGATGGAGATCGGCTCTTTGCTAAGGTGAGATTTCCTTTCATATTAATTTAGGAGCAGGAGACATTGGAGATTTAGGTGTTGGGACTGGCCCTACTAACTCAAATTCTTCAAGAGTATCATGATTTTGAAAATTCTTCCGTCTTACCTTGACCACTCCAGATAAATCCAAGTTGGCAATCTTCTGTCCCTTGGAGTGCTTTCTTCCAGCTATGCTCAGTCCTTGAACTTCCTCTGTCATCCTCATCAGAGCCGAGAAGAACTTTGGTACCTTAGTTCCAAAACACAACACTGTCTCAATGTTAGAAGTTGTCTATGTCCCGACTGTCCTGTCTGCCCCTTCTGTCCCTGTCCCTCTTACTTTGTCTTGCAACCTGAGTTTTTCCCCGTAGTCTTCCAGTTTCTGACTTGTAGCCCTAGGTTTGTGGTGTCCACCACACTGCATGCCCCAGTGAGGCGTTGCTAACTTTGGATGGATTGAGAGGAGAAAGGACACCCCTCTCCTTCATTTTCCCCCTCCTGTAGAAATACCTTCTGTCCCTGGTGTATTAACTCTGGGCGAGCAGAGCATAAATCAATCAGCAGGTGGAGATTAGTTAGAATTCACCAGCTGTTCCTTCCTGTAATTGGATGTAACTATGCAGGACACCTTTGGAAACAGTTATCCAGTTACTAAATGCCAAACCTGTCATAGGTCTTCAGCTGACTGCGACGGATTAGCCCCTAAAGAGCAGGCGGTTTAGCAGCCTGCATCTCCAACCCCTTGCTAGGAGTGCTTGGGAGTGGGCTCTGTGAAGTGCTTAACAGCCCCCTTCGCTGAGCTGGCAGAAACAGCCAAGATGTGCAGGAGAACAGTGCATGGATTTGCCTTACTATGGAAGAGATTTGTATGGCCTTTCTCCACTACTCAGTAAAAGAGTGGTTTTTCCAGACTAGTGGTGGTGGCACACACCTTTAATCTTAGCACTAGGAAGCAGAAATGGGCAGATCTCTGAGTTCAAACCCAGCCTGGTGTACAAAGCTAGTTTCAGGACAGCCAGAGCTACATAGAAACTCTGTCTGAAAAAACAAAACTATCTCCCCAGTATTCACCCCCAAAAGAAAGGACTGGTCTCCCTGCAGTGACGGGGAGTCTGAGGATGAACTCCTGCATCTAGTGTGCTTATTCCTCGCACTGTCCCTGACCAGGGCAGCCCCTGGGAAGTATGTAGTAGGCGTGTCCTTAGGAGAGCTGGTAGGTTTTGCCCTCAGTCTTAGAGATGGCATTAGGAGAATAGGATTGATTACAGGACAGTCCCCCACACATTTATTTTTTGTGTGTGTGGATGTGTGTATGTGCGCTTATTAGAGAAGGTCAGAGAACAGCTCTCAGGAGTTGGCTCTCTTCCTCTACCTGTGGACTCTGGAGATGAGACTCAGGCTGTGAGGCTTGGCATCAAGTGTTTTTCTTTTCTCTTCCTTCCTTTCTTCCTCCCCCCCTTCTCTCTCTCTCTCTTTCCTCCTTCCCTACCTTGCTCCCTCTTTTTCTTCCATCACTCACTCCCATTACCTGCCTCTGCAGACCTTTCTTCTCTTAGTATTCCTTTCCCACCCTGAGTAGAACAATTACCAATCATTCTGGGCTCGCAGCTATGATGACCCAACCCTGTCTCCTTTCCTCCCACTAGTACTATGACGACACCTATCCCAGTGTCAAGGAGCAAAAGGCCTTTGAGAAGAACATTTTCAACAAGACCCATCGGACAGATAGTAGGTCATTCTCCTTCACTGTTCCCTGTGTTGGGGGGACCATGGGAAAGGGGTGTTGGGGGGAACCATGGGAAAGGGGTATCAGCAAGACTGTAGAAAAAGAGAAAATGTTGTGGCTTTCTCTCTTTCTTTTCTCTTCCTCCCCTCATATAATAAACTCTTCAGAAATGTAATGGGGAGGTGAGTGTACCTCACGCGGGAATACCGTACTAGAAGCTTGGCTGTTAGCTACCTGTCTAGTCCCTGGATTTATGAGCCTCACCTGACAAATTTAACTGCAGCTCTGCTTATTGTACCGCATCCATTAGGGCAGGGAAATGGAAGCCTGTAAAGGTGACCGCTCTGCGTCTTCCCCTCCGCAGGATCACTGGTGTCCTGCCTCGTACACAGGGCGGAGACTAGTGCAGTGGGGGAGGGAGAGTTAGAGAACATGGATTTAGACTCCCCTGAGTTTCTGTGTCCCTTCTGCCAACTCCATAAACAATAGATAGCTTTAGTGCCTGGAGGTCAGTACAGTTGACCTTTCCTTGGCCCACAGAGCTGTCCCCAGGAATTCATGGGAACTCCTGTTCTGTCTCCTCTTCTCCCACCATTCAGTTTCTGCTTTCTTCCCAAGGTGAAATTGCTCTGTTGGAAGGGCTGACAGTGGTCTATAAAAGTAGCATCGATCTCTATTTCTATGTGATTGGCAGCTCCTATGAAAATGAGGTGAGAATCCCTGCCCATTTGCTACCTCTAATGTCGCTTCTGAAACCATAGATGGGACACAGCCATTAGTTTTGGACTTTGTAGAGCCACATTCCTCTGATGTCTGGCAAGGTCATAAAGAAGTCCTTTAGAGGTTCCTGTCAGCCTACAAAGTGACCCAGTCAAAGAGTCAAGGGGCAGAATCTTACTCTATAACACAGGCTATTTTCAAATCTGTTTTCCAGGTGTTGGAATTACAGGTATGAGTCACCATGTCCAATTAGAATGTTTTTAGTATCCTTCCCTACACAGTGATGATTTAGATTTTGTTTGTTTGGTTTTGAGACACACATTGTAGTTCAGACTGACTTCAGACTCAGCAGTTCTCCTGTCTCAGCTTCTCCAGTGCTGAGATACAGTGTGAGCCAGTATGCTAAGTTCCCACAGTGTTGTTTAAAGGTGTGGTCAAGGGTGTGTGTGCTCTAGATCAGGGTGAAGCCGTATGGGATGAGTCTCACACTGCAAGTAGGACGGTGAGTGCAGTCCTAACCTTCCTGTATGCAGGAAAATCTGTTTATTTCAGGTGGTAGCAACTTCTGGGAGAGTAGGCAGGTAAATAAGTCACTAGATAATTTTCCATCATAGTTAAAGAGTTTGGGAAATAAGGTCCTGCTGAGCTCTCTGGGCTGTGCATACACTCTGTGAAGTTATTGTTTTAGCTTGGCAGCATTCTGTGGGTTGTAGGCATTGCTATTTTTGTTTTACCAATGAGAAAAGCAAACCACAAAGAATCATAAAATTACTTGTATTTGGTGTTTGTCAAACTACAGAAGTAGCTGTTTTATGAGCTTATACTCCATTGGATAACAAATGTAGAATCAGCTGAGATTCAAACCTAATTCTGACTCAAGAGCCCAAGCTGAGGCCGGAGACGCAGCTTAGTAGTGAAATATGTGCTTGGCAAATTTGAAATCCTGAATTTGACCCCTAGTATCATTTTTAAAAAGGAGCTTGGGGTGGGGTGGGAGGCTGGAGAGGTGGCTCAATGGTTAAGAGCGCTGGCTGCTCTTGCAGAGATCCTGAGTTCAATTCCCAGCAACCACATAGTGACTTATAACCATCTACAATAAGATCTGGTGCCCTCTTCTGGCCTGCAGGTGTACGTGCAAGGCACTCATACATAAAATATGAATAAATAAATAAGTTTTTAAAATGGACCTTCCACCACCTTCCTCTGGCTTCAGCTTTTGCTGGATTTATGATTTCTCTCTTTACTAACCCATCGGGTAGCTTAGTAAAGACATAGAGGTAGGGGCTGGAGATGGCTCACTTGTTAAGAGCACTGGCTGTTCTTCCAGAGGTCTTGGGTTTGATTCCCAGCACCCACATGGTGACTCACAACTGCCTATGACTCCAATACCAGGGGATCCAGTGCCTTCTTCTAGCCCTGGGCCCTGCACATGTGTGATACAGATATAGATGTATACATCTATACAGATATAGATGCAGACAAACATGAGCATACATGATATAAACTAACAGGGACATAGAGGCGGAGAGGCATGACAGTGCACACACCTGGGAAGTATAGGCAGGAATTCAGAGTCACCTCAGTTATATAGCTAGTTGAAGACCAGTTTAAGCAATGTGAGACACTACTACACAAAAACAAAACATAGCTGGAGAGATTGCTTACTGTTCTTTCAGAGAACTGAATTTGGTTTCTATGTTGGGCAGCTCACAACCATCTGTAACTCCTGCTCAAGTGGAATACAGTGCCCTCTTCTGACCTTCGTGGGCACCTGTATATTTGTAGCACACACACATAAATAAAAATAAATTTTGCTGGGCAGTGGTGGTGCACGCCTTTAATCCCAGCAGAGGCAGGCGGATCGCTGTGAGTTCGAGGCCAGCTTGGTCTACAAGAGCTAGTTCCTAGACAGGCTCCAAAGCTACAGAGAAATCCTGTCTCGTAAAACAAACAAACACTTTAATTAATAAAAAGCAAACACACAGAGAACTAAGATACATTGAGGACTATGTCAGCAAAGTTCTGAATTTTTGAATTTCTGTCTTAAAGAAACCTTCACTTAACACAGTTGGTGCACACCTTTAATCCCAGCAGGCAGGCAGATCTCTGTGAGTTTGAGGCTGGCCTGGTCTACAGAGCTAGTGCTAGGACAGCCAAGGCTGTACAAAGAAAACCCTGTCTCCAGAAAAAAGAAAGGAAGGAAGGAAGGAAGGAAGGAAGGAAGGAAGGAAGGAAGAAAAAAATGAAAAAAGAAAAGAAACCTCCACTTGTGGAATTTTTTAGCAGAATTAACTTCTCTGAGAAACCAGAGGCTAATTCTGTTGTGTTTGTTCCTCACATTGTGTCTCTGATCGTTGTGAAAACCTGTGCGTGTTGCTAAGGAAGCAAGTGGAGGGGTTTGCTTTGGGGTAGCAGTTTTAGGACCTTGAACCTTCTGTCTCCTTTCTCAACAGTTGATGCTAATGGCTGTTCTGAATTGCCTGTTTGACTCCTTGAGCCAGATGCTGAGGTGAGCAGCCGTTCTCAGTTTACATTTGGAAGAGAAAGTACCTATCCCTCAGGGCCTGGAATTTGTGTGAAATCAGAGCCACTCTGGGGGAATTAGTTCAGTGTGAGAAACTGTGCTTGTTCTTTGTGGAGTACTTTGAGGGAGTACTGGAGAGCATGATCCTCCTATGGAATAATTCTCTTACTGAGGGACAGAGGAGTTTCTGTCTCTCCTTTGGCTTTACTAATGATTGAACCTTGGTAGGCAATTGTTCTACACTGAGCTACTCACCCAAACCTTTTATTGTGTTTTCTTTTAATTTAAGACAAGGTTTTACTAAGTTGTCTTAGAACACTGTACCCCAGGCAGCTCTTGAACATATAATTGCCTGCTTCAGTGTCCAGAGTAGTTGAGAGTACATGCATGCACCATGGTGTCCTTGTCCACGCTTGTCATGTCCAGTGATTCTGACAGTGTTGTGAGCCCCTAGGTGCTTTGTCCTCTGCAGTTGCCGGCGGGAAAGGACAAGGAACGTGTCCCAGGTGAAGCGTTGCCAGTCTCCATTACTATTGCCTTTGTAGTCTCTCGGTGCATAGAATGGCCCCACTGTGCTCTTGGCCCTACTTACCTCCCCAGTAGCTCTCTGTTCCCATGCACACAAGCAAGAAAAAATGTAAGATACTTTCTCTGAAAACATTCAAGGTGCTGAACTTCACCCACAGCAGCTCCTAAGTGAAGGCATTTTAGAAATCCATCCGGAGTAGAACAGCGGGCGCTCTCAGCCCACAAACCAGCAGGCCAAAGGCTCAGGTTTCCTCAGGAAGGGGAATGATTTATTTCCCAGCCAGGTGGATGAATAGACTTAATTTCGGGTAATCTAGAGAAAAGAGTCACACTGACAGATGTGACAGGCCACATGCACAAACCACCGGATCTGTGGCTGGTGGGTGCAGCCCCTGGCTGTTCCTAACCCCTCTTTGGCCTTTGTTTTAGGGCTTGAACAGACCTGGGGGGAGGGGGAAGGCAGAGAGATTTTACAAGTTTGTCAGCACTTGAGTGCAGATAGGATTTGCATCCTACCCCTCCCACCTTCCGCCAGCACCCACTCCAGACTGTGAGCTGTATTCACCAACAGCAGCATTCTGGATAGTCAGCCCAGGAGTCAGAAGTTAGCTGTTTGGAATCCCTTTCTTGATATTTTGATCACTAGAGCTCAAGGGTTCTTTACCTTACACATTTCTTGTGGGGTAATGAAGACAGTTACTGGTCTAGCTTAAGATCCCCTATTCAGACAGTGGCCCAGGATCCCTTTCACACACAATCTGCTTTTTCTCTTTTGGGGATTTAGGAAGAATGTAGAAAAGAGAGCTCTGCTGGAGAACATGGAGGGGCTCTTCTTGGCTGTGGATGAAATTGTAGATGGAGGGTGAGTTCTCTGCCCTGCCTGGATTTGGAGTGGGAAAGGGAAGTGGCTGCCCCTGTTCCAAGTCAAGTGGGTTGACCAGCCAGTGATCCCTACCTTTGGGACAGGACAAGCAAGCAATGATCTTCTTTGTGTTTGTAGGGTGATCCTAGAGAGCGACCCCCAGCAAGTGGTGCACCGGGTGGCTTTGAGGGTAAGCAAGAATGTTCAACCCCTTTTCTCCACAGGTTCTCTCAAGCCAAGCCTGCTGAGTGTAGCTGAGGGTGCAGCTCATAAACACATCTTACCTTTTCCTATCCTCACACATGTCTTTCCACCTCAGTGTACCAGAGAAGCGAAGGAACTTGCTTGTTTTTCTAACATGGAACCTAGCATTTTATATGGTCTTACACAAAATGGCCACTTTAATGTAAACATATGGAATGGACAAAGTAAAAGAAGCATTGCTATTCATGGTTCTGAAACTATAAAGGAGCTTGAGGTTGGCTTATTGCTTCTTTGAGAATGGATCCAGTCATCAGAGGCATTGGAGTGTCTTTCCTGTCTTAGTCTCATGGAACCCTCAGGAAGTTCTTATTTGCCAGCACCTCAGCCCTCCTTGGCGCTAGTAACAGCAGAAAGGAGTCTGAGGTACTGGCTTCATGTCTGCTCAGGGAGATGATAGTGCATGCAGAGCCCACCTGGGAGATGATAGCGTGTGTAGAGCCCACCTGGGAGATGATAGAGCCTGCAGAGCCCACCTGGGAGATGATAGCATGTGTAGAGCCCACCTGGGAGATGATAGAGCCTGCAGAGCCCACCTGGGAGATGATAGAGCCTGCAGAGCCCACCTGGGAGATGACAGAGCCTGCAGAGCCCACCTGGGAGATGATAGAGCCTGCAGAGCCCACCTGGGAGATGACAGAGCCTGCAGAGCCCACCTGGGAACTGGTGCAGAGATGTCTGAACAGAGCAGCACTGCCAGTTCCCAGTGTCCCAGCTCTGACCTCCAGAGTGAAAGTTGCCAGTGCTGGGTAATGGGAAGTCTTCTCCCTTAACTGCCGTGGGCTCCATTTGCATAGTTTAATCTTCTCCTCTAACATATGTCTCTATGTGGCAAGAGAGAGGGTTCCCCCCACACACTGTCTCCCCCTTCCCCTTCTCAGGCTGCTGTTGCAGCAGTTTATTTCTTCAAATTAACATGCCGTCGTTACCCATGAGGCCTTGCGGTATCCATTAAACTAACCCTGGCTCCCTCCATCTCCCCCCCCCTTGATATTGATATTCATGGAAGGTCTTCTCTGACTAGGGAATCAGGTCCTCACCCCAGATTCGAGGGAGGGAAGGATCAGATATCCTGCTGATTACTTGGAATGAACTAACCCTTTTAAGAAGTCCCCTGCCTCTCAGTGGAGGATGGATAAAATGACCCTTTGTATTGACAGTCCCTCTGGCAGAGTAAAAGTATGGCTCAGTCTTTGGAAAAAGGGGCTGAGAAGTTTAGGGTATTTGCTTTTGCTTCAGACTCCAGTCTAAACACTTATCTCTACACAGGGTGAGGACGTCCCCCTTACAGAGCAGACCGTGTCTCAGGTATGACTCTCTTCCTCCCTCCTTTCCACGTGTTATTACAGAACCTGCCAAGTCTGAATTGAGACCTCACATTCAGTGAGGTGGCCTGGCTGCCTCTCGTCCTGGAGCACAGTGTCCTCAGCCGTGCCCCCTTCTCTCTCTGTGATCATGATTGTCAGCCTTGCTTTCTGTACCCTTCAAACCTTCCCTGCCAGATACCTCAGGCAGTGATTTATTCCCCGGCAGAGACTTGCCTTAAGCAGATGGTCTGTGTGCCTGTGAGCACACACTCCTCTTTCTCTTATTATTCAAATGAGGGCTGAGCTGGAAATGCATATTCTGAACTGTGCAGAGTGTGCAGATCCGTCCTTCTGCCTTGACTGCAGATAGGCTGTCTACCTGACCTGGGGGCCTGCAAGGGAAGAGTTCTGGTTCTGCCTAGTAGGAATCCTCACCATCTGGATGTATAATCTCCTTTTTATAACTGTGTCCAATAACCCCCAGCTTTTTTTTTCTTTTCTCCCAGGTATACCTCTTCTCTCTTCATCCCCCCAGTGGATTTGAATTCGGGGGGAATTTCCCAAACTGACAATCCTCTAGGGCCTTAGAGAGCTTCCTCCTATTCTTCCACCCTTGGGATTTTCTATCCCCAGTTCTTCTAAGGAGAGGGAAGGCAAGTGTGGGGAAGGAGAGCCTCAGCCTGCGCACACCCGGCGGCTTGCAAGCCTCAGTGCTGCCTTTGTCTCCGCAGGTGCTGCAGTCAGCAAAGGAACAGATCAAGTGGTCCCTCCTTCGGTGAAGATGTTTCATGCCCAGTTCCTTGCGCCTCAAACCCCCACATCTGCTATGACTTGTTATCCAGGTCCCCAACAGATGCTCTTAGGGTCATGTTGGAGAATCACAATGGACCCTGCATCTCCATCCTTTCTGGGGTTGTTGTCCCCCACTCCTTCCCACTCAAGGGCAGATTTGAATGAGGCAGGGGACACCCTCTTCCTACTACACTGGTTTTCCCACCCCCACATTCTCTCCTTGATTTCTTGGCCCTTTTCTATGGCTGTACTTCAGATCAAAGCAGGAGAAAGAATGTGCTGAGTGTTTCCCTTCCTGTGCCCCAAGGGCCCTCATCCCAGCAGCCCATATGTCCAGCAAAGGGGAGGACTCCTTCTTTTAGCCCAAGTGGGTATGGAGTGGCAGGGGCTGTGCATCTTTGGCTGTGCAGCTTCTCTCCTTCCTGCTGCCCTGTCCTCAGCTGAGCTGTTGGGGCAGTGATTTAAATGCTGTCCGTGAGTGTGTAGGCTCTGCTGTAATCTGGCCTTTAGCCTCAAAGCTGCTGTGCCTGCCTGTACCTGAGAGCAGCCTACTCTAGGTCTGTACCACACCTCTGTCTGTAGCACCTGCGAGATCTTTGCCTGGTGTGGCCTCCGGTAGCCTGGAGCAAAGCCAGACCTTGGAACTAAAAGCGAGGTAGCCTCCAGAAAAGTTTCTACACAGAACCAGAAAAAAAGGGTCCTTCATGACTTGGGCCTTGCCATGTTCCTTCTCTGCTCTCCCACTCACACTCCTCTGCCTTGGTTCTGCAGGCTGCTGTTGACCTCTCCCTCTCTGCCCCAGCCTTTCCCGCAGCCGAGGGTCTGGTGCCTGCCTTTCTTCTAAGGCTTGGATTTCCGTCCTTGGGTGAAATGTTGTCCCTTGACCCCACATCTCCGTGAAAATGTCTTAGAAAAATATTTGCCTGCAAACATTCTACCCCCTGCCTTGACTGAAGTGGGCAGACTGGAGGCGGCCTCTGCAAGAAATGGAGTCAGACGAAGTCCACCTTGTACGCTGCTGTGTGTCAGAGGAATAAAGTGAATCTCTTCCAAACTGCCTTTGTGTGATGGTTCTGTTCCTCCCTTTTTTGGCAGCTATTCCTGTTCCTCCAATCCCCCCCCCACCTCTCCTTATAATATTTCTTCGTACCTCAGAGACTCCCCAGCACTCCCGCCCCTAATTTACGGGGCTGTTTGCCTCCTTGGCATCTCTCGGTCCCCTCGCCTGGAAATTGGCGCCAGGGGTGGGGTGGGGATGGTAATTTCTCAGTGGGAGACTTGGGGAACTGAGTTCTTCCCCACACACCCCCAAAGCCAGCTGCCTGCTCCCGCCTCAGCCATTAGTAACCTGGAGACGCGCACCTGCGTGGGGGCTCTCCTCCAGCCCCTACTCCCTTCCCGCACCTCCCATTCCTCTGAAAAGGCACTGAGCGGGTTATTTATCGGAGCCAGCACTGCTCCAGAAGGTCAGGACGGTGGTGTAAATAACCTCTTCTCGCCATTTCCCCGTCCCTCCAGAGCCCGCTCCCCTCCCCCTCTTCCACCTTTATTCGCACAAATGAATGTGGCTGGGCTGGCGTAGAGCCTGGCCCTGCATCTTAATGGGGCGGTGAGCTCACAAGATGGATTTAGCTGGGGGTTTTATGGTTGCTGCGGCGACAGGAGAATGCTTTGGTTTTCTTTCCCCTTTCCTCTGCAGGATTTTAAGGAGGGGGCAGTGTGGGGACTCCTCCTCTCCACTGAGATTTGAAGGGTCTCCTCTGTCACCTCTACTGTTCTGACATGGGTCTGCAAACCTGGACCATGGAGGCTAAGGGAAGGAGGAAGGAGACAGAATGGGAAGACCCTCTCTGCAGGGCATGAAGCCAGTGGTTTGAACATTCCTTCCTCCTCTGTGAAAATCTGGAACTTGGGCTCAGCATCTGTGAAGTACCTGGGCCTAAGATGCTCATAAGCAGACAGAAAACGATCTGCTGGACCATCCCTGTGTGGTGTCTGTACTGGAAGCTAGAGGGCCGTGGGAGAAGAGCCATGATGCCTCATCTGTGAGGAGCAATGCCCAGCTTTAGCCCCTGTATAGCCTTTGGTTCAGGAGAGCAGGATTATTACAGAGTTGAGGGCTGATAAGCAACATGGAGAATGTCGTTCTCTGTGTTCTAGTCTCAAATCCCGAATTCTCTGAGCTTGTTTTTCCAGCCTTCTGTTTCCCAGCAGAACTAAAATGTTGGTGCCCCTGCCTACCCAGTCCTCTGGCCAGCAACTTCCTTTTGGGGCTCTACCAACCCATCCTTAGCACCGACTAAAACAGACACAGCAGGGGCCTGGACTGTCTGGTTTGCCTCCCCCTCCTGTTTGTGAACCTTTCCCCCTTCCCCAGGGAATTCTAGGAGGCCCTCCTCCCTTTTCCCCCTTTGGCTGGGAAAGAGACTACAGTCTGAACAGTGCCAGACACCTGCCTGCCAGATGTGGCGATTCCCCATGCTGCCCCCGCCTCACCGAGCCCAGGCAGAGGGAGCCCCCCACAGGGTGATTTACTGCCACAGTCTCCTCCTCAAGTGCCCCCTTCAGGCTTCTCAGGCCTGGTGCCCATGCTCCCCTCTTCCCACCAAGACCAGGAAGCCCTGCAGGGTCCCTGGGCTGGGGGAGCTCTGGCTCCCTCTCTGACAGAAAAAGGAATGGGTCGGTAAAGGGTGACACCCTTGCTACACCCCTGGGAAAGAAATCTGCAGCAGGACTGAGGACTGTGTCAGCCAGAGCTGATGTCATTCTCAGCAGGGGAGGACGGGACCGGAGTAGGCTAACAGAATGGAGCCTGTATTCCAGAGCTAGATGCAGAGGGCTTTCCTAGGTAGACCAAAGACCATGACTGGCGCTGTGTTGTGGACTTTGAAGTTCCACATCTCTGGCTGGGTCTCCAGGCCTCGTGTCTCCATCTGTGTTTCATATAAGCCCACAGGTCCGCCTTCTTTCTTTGGTGTTTCGCTTTTGGTGTCCTCTCCCTATGTCTTCCTGGGTCTCCCTCCTTTAGAGGCAGCTTTGCTCTCTGCTCACCTCCCAGGCACCCTGACTCTGCCACTTCCTGGCCAGAGCATAGCCCACTAGCATCCACTAAAGCTGGGACCCATGTAGAGTCTGTTTTCCTCCCATCCATCCTTGTAACCTGACACCCAAAGTTCTCTGCAGGGTTGCAACAGGGTTTATGGTGGAACTGAGGCAGGAGGATGACAGTGTCAGGGGCTGGGAAGGGGAAGAGGAGCATAAGAAGGAAAAAGAAAGAAGCAGTGAAGGCAGAGGCAGAAGTGGAGAGAAGTGAACGTGGGAATCTGGGAGAGAAATCCATACAAAGAAGGCCGGCAGGGCTAGAGCAGAGAAAGAATGGAGGTGGAGACAGAGGACAGCTAGAAAAGGCACTGGGGAGGGGCCAGGAGGCAAGCTGGCAGGTCATAAATCATGTGTGTGCACATGTGCACATGACACTTGTATGTGGGGGCCTGAGGTGCTGAAAAGGATGATGTCCATAATATTAGCCTTTTGGCAGCTTCTCTCTTTGAGGCTCCTCACACCATGTTCCAGTATTCTTGATGCTCCAGGGACCATTCTGAAGGTATTTCCACATCTTCTCAGGAACCCCGACTTTCTCACTTAGAATACAATCCTGCTGGAATGTTCAGGACCCACAGAACAATCAAAAGGTCCCATCCCCTCACTACACACTCCCATGGCTGCCTACCAGCCGCTCCTGTCCATCTCCTCTTCCCACTCTTCTTGTCTGTCCCCTCCTCTGCAGCAACCCCTCCCCCAGACTCTGGGGCCTGGGTCAAAGGGGAGACAAAGACAGGATTTATTACCAGAGTAGAGAAGCAGTCAGAGCAGGGCTGAGATGGGAGGGGACACTGGACTGTTAGAAAAAACTGGAAGGGTAGGCTTCTCTGGCTCCTGCCCATAACCCCTAGTGTTCCTACTCAACATTGCTCTCTTCCTTTTCTCTGAAAACAGAGAAGATGCCCCTGAGGCATTTTTTTTTTTTTTTTTTTTTTTTGGCCTCTGGAGGAAATTTTGAGAGAGAAACAGAAAAGACTCCTGTCACAGGGTCATTCTCTTATGGGTATTGAGTAGGACTGGAAACCAGAGGCAACAAGGCCTCTAGTTGTTTCTTGGGTTAGGAAAATCAGGGAGGAGGCTGCCAGATGTGGTACAGAGAACTGCTTTCTAATTTCCAGAGGGCCTCACATGGCAGGTCTGTCAGGTCACTAGCAGGAAGGCAGGGGGCATGGTTCCCGCTGAAGAGAAGGCTGGTCAGGGCTTACCACTTCTGCCTCCTGGGGGTCCTCCATCTCATGGCACACAGAAAAAGCTGCCTTTAGCATCAGTTGGCCTTGGATTGTTTCCTTAGCAGACAGGATGTGTGGAGGAGAGGCTTGTGTGATCGGGGGCTCTGAGAACCCAGACTGTGGATCTTCTATGGGTGGATTCTTAACTTTCCCCATGGAGACCCCTCCAAAATCTTGGTGCTCCTGGAATCCAGCACCGTGCTTCCTGTCTTAGGACAGACAATAGAGTAAACTCGAAGCAAGAGCAAAGTGGAAGAGCTCTGAGCCTTCACCTCAGTCCCAGCAACCCATTTCTACCCAGAGCGGATGAGGGGAAACTTGAGATCTGTTCTCCAGCTCCTCTATAAGGCGCAATCACTGTCTCTATTTCTGATGAAATGCTAGAAGTTGGAAATTTTACTGGAAAAGGTAATGGAAAGGGAGAAAACAAAAGAATTGGGAGGGGCAGGAAAAGGGAGAGGAGATCCTGTCTTTTTTCTTATCCCCCCCCCACTTCCCTCCATCGAGGAGGCAGATTTACAACCTTGGTGTTGGGGGGAGGTGAGCATAAGGAAGACAGATCTGCAGTTTTGCCCTCTGAGTGTCTGGGTACTTAGCTTTAACTCCCCCATTAGCATCAATCCCCATCTTGCTGCCCATCCGTCTTCTGACATCAGCTCCTTCCTCTCTCTGCAGGCCAGGTTTTCTGACCCTAAGTGACTCTTAAAGGGCCAGTTTAGACCCTTCTCTTTCCCCATCTCACTGCGGGAAGATGGCCAGTGTCACCCGGGTCATGGGTGGGGACAGGGTGACTTCCCCAGTTCTCTGTAGACCCCCCTTATGTCATGGCCCCTATCCTTTGTCTGCTACCTCCCCAAGCCTAGAGCCAAGAAGCTGCTGGCCAGGGGTTGAGGACTGGAAAAAGCATGTGGATCCTTAGACAGATCCCCCACCCCACCCCACCCCCTGCCCATTTCCTGGAGGCCCAGGGCAAGGAGTGTTTTTAATTCTCAGCTAGCAAAGCGGGTGGATAGGTTGGGGACGAGGCTGCTAGGAGATGCATTGGGCGCCACATTCCTAGCCTCCTTTCCCAAGGATCCAGGCTGTGTGCTCGGAGGGGCTGGGGGAGATTTCAAATCCCTTTTCTGTGAGGGAGATGTCAACCCCGAGAAACCTGCTTGCTAGCTCCTCTCCCCCATTCATTTATCGGCAACTGAGTTTAGAGGTTAAGTAACAGCAGACTTCTCCCGGTCTTTTGCAGAAAGGCTGTAATTGCCCACCAGGGCTTCCAAGAACGACAGTATGTTCACAAAGTTCCTCCCTGATCTGCCTTCCATCCCATAAGTTGCAAAACTCAGCAGGCATCGGCGGGGGCTCTCAAGGGCCGAACCATTCTAACTCTTTTGCAGGTATCGAAAGCCCACCACCCACAGCCCCGGAGCTCCCTCTGGCTTGAGATTAGAGGGAGCCGCTGATGGGGTCCTTGGCAAAGTGGCCGTGTCCGAAATAGGAGCCCCCATCGCACCCCAGAGGCCCCTTATTTATCACCCTCCAAACCTCACTCCCAAAGAAGCATAAATATTCCTAATTCCTGAAGGCCGAGCCTGAGTTCGTAAATCTAGGAGGTTGGTGGGAGGGGTCCCGCGCAACAAACGCGGCAGAGCTCCCAGGGC